TATATATATTAGTATTTCCCTTCTCAGCTTGTGGAAGAGCTGTTTATGATGAGCTTTGATTCATCATGTGACTTCCTCATCACCACCAGTTTTTGGTGGTTATCAGTATTACAATGTCCTTACTACATTTCTGGGCCATAAAACGTTTCAGTTCCATTGCTGTCTATAGAGGGTCAGAAAGCATTAAAGAATTTCATCAAAAATATCTTATTTTGTGTTCCGAATATGAACAAAGGTCTTACAGGTTTGGAACTAAATGAGGGTGAGTAATTAATGACAGACTTTTCATTTTTGGGTGAACTATCCCTTTAAAATAAAAATAAAAAAGACTCAGAAGTGCTTTAAGAGTGACTCCCTAAGTGTTAAATTATGTAATACTGGATACGCATCCCTGACATACCATAACATTATACAATTGATCTGTAAAGATGTGTTTTGGTTATGATATAAAGAAGCTCATATAAAAAATTTTTTTAGTCTGTGGTTTGAAAAAGTTAAAAACAGATACAGTTTTTCCTAGGGATGCACCGATATGAAAATTTTGGCCGATACCGATAACCGATTATTCTTTATTTTTGAAAGCCAATAAGGATTGTGACAGCAGCAGGTCAGTGTGTTCCTCCTCCCGCTTGTGCAGTCAGCAGCATTGCCTTATGCTGCATTTTTTTTTTCTGTGCTAGATGCGCAGAGGGATATTCCTGTATGTGCAGATGCAATGAGAAGAGGTGGAGAAACTCTGTGGTTAGGCATGATATGTTTTTGGTTAAGACCCACTTATTAGCATTATCTTTTCCATAGATAAGAGTTTTTGTCTTTTTTTCGTCATTGTTGTGTATTTATTAGATTTTTTTTGTTTCTTTTTTTTCCTTGATTTAAAGAAGTTTGTTTCTCTTCCCTTCAGACTCTAATTCAGAATTTGTTCAGAGTGCAATGCAAATTGAGCTCTATCAACAGTATCTGTGGCATCATGTAATTTACCACTGGAAAAGGGTTTGACTCCTTCCTTAGTTGCATGTATAAAGACGGCAAGAAACATGGTAATAGATACACACACACACACACACACAGTCCAAGTAATTCTTGAAGTATGAAGTATTATACAAGTAATTTAATTATTTAATTAAAAGTGTTAGAATTAGTCTCTGTTTAAAAAGAACTGTTCTTGTATCCTTGAGCACATCACATGAAATTTACTCAGTATAACAGCTTTTGTCATGGCATGATAGATAGATAGATAAATAAATATCACTGTTAGTATTACTTATTTAATATTACATGAAAATAATACCACCAGTAATGCCACAAATGCTATCAGTAGAGTTTACCTTGTATTGATCCAGAACATTCTTTTAATGCAAATGAAAATGCTAGTGTTCCTTAGTAAACTGGCATCATTCAATCCAGAAATATGGCCTGACTCTTACTGTAACAGTTCCATAAAAGCATATAAACGCTGTGTTTTTATTGCTAGTTATAATTACAGTGAATTGGTCCAGAAATAGTTCCAGGGACCAAATTAAACAGAGTCCTGAAACACTGTAATTAGGTGAGGTTTGAGTACTTTTCATTGAATAACAGGAAAGATGATAGAGTGACAGAAAAGAGACCACAGAGGACGAGTGCTCTTGGCAGTGGAGAGATGGAGGTGGGGCTGTATCTGAGCCGTTTGGCTCTCGTACACATGACATCACTATTACCCAGTGGGAGTGTTACCGCCTTTTCTGGTGATGTCACTGCTGCCCAATCAGAAGCCACTGTTTTGATGCTGCAGTGAAGACTGTCAGCCAGTGAAAAGACTAGCTTTGAGAGCAAAAGGTGTTTTATGCACGCCACATGAACAGCTGTGCCCTTGTCCTTCTCATCTACCAACTGGTTTCACTGACCTAGTTCTTTCTGTTTTGTTGCTCAGCCATTTCGAAGACTAGCACCAAATTCGAGCCTTTTACAAGGTTCTGGATATTGTTTAGCAAGTGCTTATTTATTTATTAGCTTACTAGAACCTTACACCTTACAATTAATCCAGCAGCTCTGAACACAATCCTTGTTAGTCTGAAACAAACAAAATACATTTTCATGACTGTGAATTGTCACCTTTGAAA